CTTCCTGTACTATTATCATTTATATCTGAAATGAATTGTAGTTGTATTTGTTAGCTTGAATCCCTCAAAGGCTTTTGTTGCTTCTCAATTAAATAAATTTTCAGTGGACATTTTTTCAAGGGTAGTACTCTCCATTTGGGTACTCTTGGTCACAGGGTCTTCCTTTGTGTTTTTAGGCTACTGTTCAGTGAATCCTTTCTCTGAGCAAAGCTTAGACAGTTGCAAGTCTGCCAACACAAGTTAAAGACAAGACCTTCCATAAATTGTATTGCATAACTGCTCCAGCTCTTGATATCCTATTTGTCCAAAAAGAATGGTTTTCATGGGACGTCTTAGAACTGAGAGAATGTTGTGATTGCCCATTTACTGCCCTGATAGAACCAGTAAACTACAGTTCTGTAGTGAAATAAGATCCATAGATTTATTGCATTTTGAAGAATGTAGATAAGGAGAAAGAAAAGATAGGGTGATTGAGGAAGCTACACGCACTGGCTACTTCCCCAAATGTTTTTTTAACCTTCACTGATTTGCAGTTTGGAATATCTTCAGCCACAAGTAATACCGCTCATGTAAATCCTCTTCCCCCTGCTGAGCGAGGGGTGGATTATAATGAAATTTTAATGAGGCAAAGTTGTGAGGCAGATCAGAGTGTTGTGCAGGAATGTTTGAAAGATTTTCAGAAATGGGATGAAAATCTATATTGAAAAATGAAAATGAAAATCATCTTTCTGTACTTAAGGGGTAATGGGGGAAAAAAAAAAAACAAACCCACTTTGGAGTTCTCAGTTGAAAATCTCTATGGTTCTACTCTCAAAAGCTGTTTTCTGGTTGCAGGGCAGCCTGGGTGCTTGGAAGAAACATGAGATCAGCTTGCAAAGGAAGAGGAGGGCTGGGCTCCTTCAGAGGATCAGAGCAATGGCTGAGGCACAAAACTAGATTGCTTGGGGTGGGCGCGTGTACTGTATGCATGTGTGTGCATATCTGCTTGTGTATATGTAACGAAAGACAAAGGGACACAAACTAACTGTTTAAATTAGATGCCAGTACTGACAACAAAAGGATGACAAAATAAATTTACATTCAGCGTGTAAGGTTTCCACTTAGTGGAGCAGTATGGCTTTAGAGTAACCTTTAAATAGGATTATTAGAGGCAGAAAATCCACGTAGTTTAGCTGTATCTTGGTCACTTTATGGTAAATATATGATGCTTTGCTTTCAATAATGTGCTCAATAGTTTGAATGTTTTAAAAGGTGCATCATCATTATTTGTGCTGGATTGGATTTGGTTTTTAGAAGTTGGTGTGGGCTTCTCCTTCTCTTCCTGTGGTTCCCCTGTTGAAGGGGACTGATGCAGGGCAATAGTCCTGGTCCCTTAACAGCTTCTGCATTTGCAGAGCATTTAGAATTGAAAAATCTTCTGACAACAGTGTTTTTGAGGATGAAAACATTAGTTTTGCCATTGAAGGTCTGTTGTGACAATATGCATCTTTTCCATGTCATATCAGTGTCTTTATTTCTGGCTTAAAAATTGTTTTTTCCATTGAAGCTTGCAGAAGTTCATAAAATGTGAACATACTTTTGTACAGTCAAAGCAGTTATTAATGATCTGTTGACACTTCTGTCATACAAGTACAGTGCTGTCACTAATAACATCAGCTTGGTGTCTGACTGCTGAATTTTAAGCTGAGACATGGAGGATTTTCTGTTTTATTTTATTTTAAGCAGAGTATTATGAAAGAGTGGTGATGATGGATCAAGCTTGCTATCTTACCTGTGAAGACCATGGGGTGGCTTCTGAGAGAAAGTGGAAGGTCGTTTGTTTTAGTGAGAGTTCATAGTTGGCAGAGTTGATTTTATGTGCCCTGTGTAGGCATAGCAGGATTGCTGCCGATGCGGTGGATATTGTGCTGGTAGAGTGTGTGAACTCATGATTTAGTCTCCAGCAGGACTGTCTGATGGCAGTATAGACCCTCCTGTTGCTAACATGGGAAGAAAGGTAGGTGCCCGCTTCCAGCTGCCAGATGTGCTGAATGGGAATTGCAGCCTGCAGTCTGGTCTCTGAATGGGACAGTAATGGAATTCTTCTGCTTTGAAGTTGGTGAAGATAGGAGGTCTGGAACCTTGAAGCATTGCATTGATACCTCCAAAAAAAGGAGCTTTGACCTCTTTCTCCAGAGAATTCAGAGCTGTTTGTTTTTTTTTTTTTTTTTTTTTACAATCCTATAAAAGCCATTACTATTGTAAGGGTTCTGATTTTTTAAAATTGTTGACAGTAGGTACGATTGAATCTTTCATCTTCTGGAATAAAGGTTTGTCTTCAGTGATTTGGACTTTAGAAACCAATACACAAACGACCAACTAATGCACAGGTTTAATTACGAAGTAATATTGCCCTTTATGTCAGTGGCTTAATTCACAGCTATTTCATTTCAGTGCATTCTCAGCATAATGACTGAGTTACGTTTGTGTGGGATCTGCTCATGGGCAGTGAGTTGTGGGGGTTCTATGATAGTATATCAAATGACCACCCTTAACAGAGCTTGCTATTTCCTACTAGATATTTTTGTGGCAGAATTGTAGCATGCAGCATTCTCAGAGAACCCCAGTACTACTCCTGAGGAGCTGTATATGTTTTGCTGGTGCACAGCATAGCTGCAGTTATATGAGTGCTTCAGAATTGTTGTCTGATTTGCAATTTAAGATGAATGCTGTTTTCTCTTTGCTTTCATAAAGTGGTATCTGGTGGAAAAAAAAAAACAAAATAAAGCTTGAATATGCAGCTTTTAATGTGTTGAAATTAAAATGCATCGTGGTTATTTTCCGGTGTTCCCAGGCTGATGAGATGGTTTTTGAAATTCAGTTTTGACATTTGAAGGGATCTTACTGAAGGCGTTCTGTACATAGTTATGAGACAGCGTTTGTATCTCGTGTACTGGAGGGAATATTTAATTTTAGAAAGATGTTTAAGCTTTGTTGTGGAAACATTGTGGTCTCTTCACTTGAGGGTAGTTCTAGGTCTTCTAGAATTACTTTTTCCTTTAGTCTTGTTAGTATTGAGTAGCTGCCTTATGCAGTGCATCGTATCCTGTGAGTCACTGGAGTAACATTATAGACTTGCAGTTTTATAATCTTTTTAAGCCAGTGTATGATGGAGTTGCTACTGAAAGAAGGAATCAGACTTCTTCGTATCACATCTATTGCAAACACGATCAGTGGTGTGATCAGTGTGCTGGGCTGGATAACTAGCATGAGTTAAACTCAACTTTTGAATGGACTCCATGTCCATGGCAAAAAAACCCACACTCGTGTGCCCCACACCCTCACTTCTACTACATGCATTGATCATGTTGTGCTTGCTGTGCTGTTTCTGCTTGATAAGTCAGAAGTGCCAACTGCTGCTTTTTGTCAGGCTATTTTTTCTCTGAGTTGTAAGACTTTTTGCTGAGCCTTTTAGCATGCTAAATGCCAGAGCTGCTTAAGGGATTGGGACTTCCCATACTATCTGGGAAGGGATGGGACCCTTGCAACGAGCCCTTATACCGATTTTCGGCTGCCGGGAACTGCAGATTAAGTTGCTGTAACCTGGATTTGTTTTCTGCTCTGAGAATATAACTGCCCTCTTGGTTGAGATGAGTACACTGTTAAGGTATCAGTGGAGAGAAATACAGGAGGGTCAAAGTTGTTATTGGTTTATGTTGGTTGTTTTTTTTTTTGTTGTTGTTTTTTTGTGTGTTCTCACTTCTGATTTCTCTGGCTTTGGGCAGCACCAGCTGGTAGATTGCTGTCTGAGTACATCCAGAAGCTATGGGGGAGAAAGCAGTCACGACAAACTTCTTTTTGTGTATCTGCTGTTAGTGGCATTGCCAGTTGTTTGCCCTACCTCCAACTCCCTAGTCGTCAGAACAAAGCTTACAAGCTGGAATAGAAGGCTAAGCAAGGTTATGGGTTTTGTTTTTTTGCTTGTTTCATTTTTTTTTTTTTCTGAGTTCATCTGAGTCCATCACGGTGCTCTTAAGCATGTGGTTGCAAACAGTGCAGTGTGCAGCAAAGCTGTGCATCATCATTTTAAGGTGGTGACGTTTGCCAGGAGCCTGCAGTATGTAGCAGAGGAATGTGCTGACTGTCACAGCCTTGAGTGCCTGTTGGATGGCTAGGGATTACGTCTACAAGTTTTTAAAAGTAATCCCTTCCATAAGACTGTCAGGTGTTCACCTGGGATTTCCAGATGAATCAAACAAATTAGAGGTATATACACTGGTGTTAGCTGGGAAGAAAAGCTGAGGCCTTGCTAGGACTCTCATTTGTGGAAGCCGTTCATACTCTTTCCCGGCAGTCTGCATGTGAGTGCACAGTGATCTGATCTTTTAATACTTAGCAGGGATAGAAATCACATTTACTTTCTTCCCATGCCAGTCTCTGGACAGCAGTGTTATGCTTGCAACCCATCACCCAGCAGTTCCTCAGTTTCAGGCTTAAAACTTTCCTGTAAACATCTGGTCCAGGTGAGCAGTACTGACTGGTCTGTCCAGTCTAATGCTCCATCTGTAATTAATTCACACTGACTTGGCCACTCTGACCTACATGCTGCAAAGATGGATGTGGATGTGCCTCCAACTGCTTCACCAGTAAAGACAAGTGCAGTTTTCTCTCTCCATGAGAGCTCACTTCTTTCTAGTTTCCTGCTTTTGAGGTTGTTAAATAACTTTGCAAGGCACTATCCAGACATCTGTAATCCTTTATTTTTAGTTTACTTTTGACCTTGTATGTGTTTTACAATCTCTTCTGCTCTCATTAAGCAAGGTTGGTCTCTTCAAAAGCTGTCCTGGTGTCCAAGATGCCCTCGGTAGCTTCCCAGTCAAGCCGCAGGTTGAGTTTTATCTAGTTCTTTGTTTTCTGTTCTAGCTGTGGTGAATGTTTTACCTGGTCTTTCAGTAGAGTTGTGAATGTTTGACTTGGACCTTGCATACAGCATGTTGTGTGCTTTGGGCTTTCTTGGGGGTGCTTTTTCATTTTCAACAGCCTCCAAGCTGTTGCAGTCTTTTTGTTTCCTGGATTGCTCTTTGCCATTAAATGTTTAAATGTCCTTCACATACAGCGCCGTCCTTGCCTGGGATTCCTGTTGAAATTGCTGGCTGACCTGCAGGCTTCTCAGTGCCTTACTGTACTTTCCTCCCACCAAGTCTGGGAGATGCCTGTTGCATTGAGGGTGTCAGGTGAGGCCAAGCATCTGGGCTTCCTGTGTGTTATTGGGAAATACCTGGTGGTGGTGTAGAGGTGTTGGGAAGTTCTGAGACTCTTATTAGCATGCCAGTCAGTCTGACTCCGGTATGAGTAATGCGCATGCCTAACAAGTTCTTCCTGCTCCTATCATACCTAAATCTTTTCTCTTTGTATCTCTGATTTTCTGTTTTAGCCTTTTTCTCAGGCCTCGCACGATGGTCTCTGACAGCATTTCAGAAAACACAGCCATGAAAATTCTGTCTTCTGATCAGTGACCTGAGCTTACTCTGCCGAGCATCCATCCTGTGTTTCCATACCCTGCCTTCTGCTACTAGCAGTGGAGCCCAGGGACTACAGGCTTTTTTTTGTGAATCATGAAGCAGCCTATGCAGATGCCTCCTGAGGTTGCCACCTTTGCTTCTGACTTGCAGTATGCAGTAAGCACTGAGCTGCCACAAACATAGCTTTCTGTGTCTGCTCAAGTTGTCCAATACCCCTATTCCACCCTTGCCTTGGAGCCTTGTCTGCTGCAAGGACAGGCCTCCTCGTTCAGCAGGACACAGTGATAACAGCTGGAGGGTGGATTGCTTCAAAGAGATTAGCTCTGCCCCAACATCTGACAGCAAAATGCTTGTGATGGCAAAATCCATGATGAGGCATGGGGCAGAAAATGAGTAGGCAGTATGAGAGCATCTTTTTTCAGAGGCGTTACTAGTTCCAGATTATAAAACTGCAGGTTCATACGAAGCAGTGTGCTTTTAACTGTTCAGATTTTTGTCTTGTAATGAAAGTATAACCCTGAGCTTGTCAGACTTCAGATACAAAAAGTGCATCTTTTCTTTTTTTTTTGTTTTTTTTTTTTTTTTAAGCAAATTTTTCTGTATAGTGGGCAGCATCTCTGTGTGTGAGCTTGTGTTTGGTAAGGGTCAGTAAAAGAGCTGACTGTCCCAAATGAGGATCTGTTCAGCTCTGTGTGTTGTCTCCCAGGGATGGCTGGAGGCAGACACCACTAGAAGGCATCAGACCAGAGGGAGTGTGTAAAAGTGCTCCAGTGTCCCCATGTTCTGCAGCTCAAGGATGTCTTATATTATAGCTCGTGTCTCTGTGTTCATTGGATGTCCCACTGCATGGCAGTGGCATGATTTGTCATGATTTCTTATGATTTGATCTCAGTCTGGATATCTGAGAGTAACTGAGACTGCATGCTGCTGTGTCTTTCTGTCACTGACTGTAGCTTATCCCTGCAGAGGTACCAGTGATGGTCATCTGGCCTGCTGCTAGTGCACTTTGCTGCAGCCTGATTGCAAAGCGCTTTTTTCTCTCAAGGGGTTTAACTGGTTATGTTACATTATGAGCAGTTTTGTTCTGCCTTGTGCCTTGCTGCTCTGCTTAATCTGCTAAAGCAGCAACACGCCTGAGAAATCCTCTGCTTTTTCCAGCAATATTGACTGGTCTAATAAAAGTAATTGTATTTTTAAATAAACTTACGTCTCTGTGGTTCTTTTTAAGCTCTGCTGTATACATTTCCTCTCATGGGATGCAGGTGTAAGCGGTTATCTCTGCTGTGTCTCCACCCTTGCCTCTTCTCTTGCTTGTGCTGACTTTGCAGTGTGTGCTCCTGTACAGAGAAACAGGGCAGAGAAATTAACTGTTTTAAGTTAACCTTGCAAAACGGAGATGTATTGTTAATTAGATCAGTTTCCCAGTCACAGGTTCCTGTTCCAGAGCAGGGAAGGAGGCTGTGTGTCAGGGGATGGGGATATTGGGTGAGGCTGTTCTTAACAGGAGCTCTGAAATCCACGCTTACACAACCACCTAAGCAGTCCTTTGTGATTTAGGAGGTGGAAAGACACTGAGAGATCATCTAGTTTGTCTGAAAGCATAATATCTCTGTGCCCATGCTGAGCATCTGCTATCTATCTTACTGGTTTTTAAAAAGATCCAATCTCTTCAGCAGACATAATTTCCAAACCAGTGAGAACTCCCTGGTTTTGAATCCTCTTTGAAAATCGAAGATTTTAGAAGCACAATTGATAGCAGGACAGCTCCATGAGGAAAATATGAATTCCATCTGACTCCAGTCTCAGCAATATATTCAGTTTGCCTTTGAACTACACTCTTGCTGGTTCAATTACCTGGTGAAGTTCAGTGGAGGCAGTGCAAATCCTGCATTGTCTTAACAGCAGCTCTTATGACCCAGAAAATTATCCTATTCCAACTGTAGAGCTGGTGAAGTTTGAATTAGAAGACAAATGTAAAACATGATGATCTTGGCTTTTCAGCTTGTCTTACAGCCTTATCATGAGCTTCTTAAAACTGGTACCAAAATAATGTAAGGCTTACTATATCCTTAAGATAATTCATTTTTAAAAATACTATTGTATTTTAATTTAGCTTCTCACTGTACAATTCCTAGTGCCTGAAGACTCCTGCAAGCTGATGTTCCATAGCGGACCTCTAGAATATTTAGTTAAACATGAACAAGGGTCAGTGACTTTTGAAAGAATCATTCTGAATGTTTGCCTAAGTTGCAGTTTGCCCTTCTAGCTGGCAGCTTGGAATATGAATGTTATAACATACTGGTGTTAAAAAGAGTCCTGTGGACTTCCATTTTCTTCGTAGGTTTCTCTAAATATGCCTGCTTCCTTTGAACAGTGCTCCATTTCAGCAGAAGACTTTTGTGTTAACTTCTTACAGACTTGGCATGTGATTGCCTATTGGCATCAGTGTTTTGTTCAGCTTTTTTCTACTTGTGCCTCCAGGTGTTCCTACATCTTAGGGGGTGTCGTGTATTTGGCAAATAATGGAAAGCATCTTCAAATCCAGATGCATGCTGTTATGACTGTGTGTCTAGTGTCTTGCTTGTGGAAAGTCTGTGTGAATTTGAGAGCTCTTTTCCAGACCAAGCTTTGTACATTTCTTCCTGCTTCTTCTCATTCATGTAATATTTTGAAAGAAGAACTTGTCTCACAAGCAGCTGAAATGCACTAAGATGTAAGTTATGAATCATTTCTAATAGGAGAATCCTAGTTATGTCTCTAATATAATCTTGTGTGACCTTTTAATTACTACAGTTCCTTCTTTTCATTGATGCTTTGACCAGCTGCTTCAGATAATATTTCAGCAGAATAAAAACAGTACAGAAAAACCCAGCATCCTTGTTCCTGATGGTCACTGGCAGTTTGGGCAGAAGTGTCAAGTAATTGGAAGGAAAAAATCGGTCTCTTTGGCAACGAGAACAGACTTTCTTTTAAGGTGGTATGTGTAGACTCTAAAGGTAGGAGTTCTGTTTTAAGCTGCTGTCTGAAATCTATGCAAAACAATATTCTCTGGCTCTTGGCTTGTAGTTAATATGCAGTAACTACTTCTGAGCATGCTGGAAATGGTCTCTGCATTTCCCTACCTCTTGTAGGAGTGGGAGTGATGTGGAGCTAAACTTTCAGACTTCTGTTGCCCTCAGAATGCTTTTTCAACTTTTAAGCTAGTTCTGAATCATGTTGCTAACGACTGAAGAGGGAGTGTGTACTAGCAGCTCACCAGTCATGTTTGCTGCAATCTTTCCAGTGACTTCAAAGTAGAGAGAATTCAGGGGCTGGAACTATTCTTATCTAGTGCCTTCAGCATCATCTTCACTGTTCTTCACAAGAAAGTATTTCTGGGGCTTTATGTGGCTTTTCAAAGCACTTTGAATGGGTGTTCTCAAAACTTTTGGTTTGGGATATATTTGACTTCATGGGATTTTACAAAGACTCGTGCTCAATCCTTTATAATATGTCACTGGGGAAGAAACCTGTTTGAAGGAAAGTGTTTTCACTGGGAATATTGAATCTCAATTCCAGTTTGCAGGTAGAATGATCATAAACTATGTATTAAACGTTTTGTAGTATTATGATAGTGGAAGTCAAAGCTTCCACTAGGACTACCAAAACTTCCAGTTACGTGTTTTAGGATGACTGCATTCTTTGAAAAGTTTCCCTTTAATATTGATATCTCTAACTCAGGATACTTGCTTCTCCTGCATGACTGCATGGTATCGCTTTGGAGAGATAAGTAGCGCCAGTGCTTTTAAGTGGTGTTAATTTGGGAACTTCTGTTAATCTGACCGTGTTGGGTATGTGAGTTTTGAGGTGCAAAGTTGTTTTTCAGTGTGAGAGCAGTGTATGTTTTCAGTTGCTCTGTTTCCTTGGAAACTGGATGGGGAGGTGACTGGCTGTGTCCTATCCACTCTGAAACAACTCTAATGCAGCCAGAGTTATTAGATGCAAACTACATGTTAAATCAAATGCAGCATTTTCCTGGTTTGGCTGTCTGCTCCTGCAGAACTGGTTTTCTGGGCTATGAGGGGTAGCAATAGGTAGGGAGAAAATACTGGCTTTGCTTTAATAGCTCTTATGAATGAAGGTGTAACAAACCAGTAGTTTTAGTGTATTACAAAGTTTAAATTCATTAGAAGAGGTGTAGTGTATGAATAATAATAAAGGTATCAGGGTGCAGAATTACATTTCTCAGGAGTATTTACATATGCCCCATAGAAAGTCATAATCAGGTGAGTGCAGGCTATGAGGTAATAACTTTAACAATTTGTAATGACAGTGAATTGATTTATTAACTTCATAGTTACAAAGTCTGATTTTCTGCTCTGGTTCATAATTGTGCAACTGGGGAAGAACTTGCTAAAGTAGGTCAGAACATAGATGTGAACAGTTCTATAACGTAAACATGCATAACGTACCATTTTATTAAATACTATAAGTTACTGTTTCTTAATAACCTAGAACACATTGACACCTGCTCTTGCTTTCTTCTGACAGTAGAGCACAAGTTGATCTGGAGGTTTGTTCCTTGCCCTGGGTGTGCACAGTACGTAGGCACATGCATACTGCTGCAACACCCTCAAAAGAGGAGCCAAATTTTCACACGCTTTCATTCTAAAACTCAAAATCCACCTTTTCCTAATGTTGTGCTGAGTTTTTGGGAGTGTGCTGAACGCTCC